GCGCATTTTAAAATAAAAATTTGTTACTTCTATAAATCAAATGTAGAGACACAAACTTTTTTTTATTATTAAGGAAGTATAATGGTAAAAAAGGCAGTTTTTTGCCTACCAAAATAAGCGTGAAAACGTTATCATTTTTTGCTTACTAATTTTGACTAGCTAAATACAGTGGTAAAATCCAGTATCAATTAGATGACTGACTTCCGATATGTAAAATGGCGGATTTTATATAGCGCATTTTAAAATAAAAATTTGTTACTTCTATAAATCAAATGTAGAGACACAAACTTTTTTTTATTATTAAGGAAGTATAATGGTAAAAAAGGCAGTTTTTTGCCTACCAAAATAAGCGTGAAAACGTTATCATTTTTTGCTTACTAATTTTGACTAGCTAAATACAGTGGTAAAATCCAGTATCAATTAGATGACTGACTTCCGATATGTAAAATGGCGGATTTTATATAGCGCATTTTAAAATAAAAATTTGTTACTTCTATAAATCAAATGTAGAGACACAAACTTTTTTTTATTATTAAGGAAGTATAATGGTAAAAAAGGCAGTTTTTTGCCTACCAAAATAAGCGTGAAAACGTTATCATTTTTTGCTTACTAATTTTGACTAGCTAAATATAGTGGTAAAATCCAGAACTAATTACTAATTACCTTTTTTTTTCATTTTTTCACATGTTTCTTGAAAATATCCTGCACTAGTTGTTTCTAGTATGTGTATTTGCAGATAGCAATTTCCAACCACAATATTGACAAGTTAGGCACTACTTGTATCCCTGACAAAAATAAGAAGTTTCATAAGCGTTTGTTTAGCGTTTACGTAAATGTTGGCGGGAGTTTATTAAGAGTATAGAAATTGTCAATAGAGCGGAAATTGCAACACTGTAGCGTTTAAAAGGCGCTTGCGTACTGGAAGAGCGTTTGCTGAACGGGGAAAAAACGCTTGTCTTACAGCGTTGGGAAAAATATTTTTCAGACGATTTAAAAGTCTGACAGCAAACTCGGTGCACGAAGGTGTATCAGTTTACTGAAAAACGTATTTTGAAAAACGTTGCTTCAGCATTGCAGGACTTTCATAAAATGTTATATACAGCATTTAATAAGTTATGAAAGCGTTCTAAAAGCTTTCAAAATCCAACAGCGTCTCTCGAGCTTACAAGATGTCAACGTTCATATAAAATTTTAAAGCGTATAAACTCTCAAGAAATACTCATCGAACGGTTTATAAAGATTTTTATTTTCATCTGGGATATAGAGGATTATCTGGAGCAATATCATAAACAATTAATACGATAAACAGTTACATGGGCGCGCTGACGAAAGATTATATATATGTGTGTGTGTGTGTGTGTG